CGATTTGTGAAAATATCTCAGAACTTTTTCATTTATTACTCTGACACTACCTTGATTTAAAATAAAGACAGCAATTTACTACTAACTAAAATTAATTTCGTAACTTTTGAATAAAAATTGCAGCTAAATATTCCGCTGCATGAACTTAAGTCTGCAATCTGCACCACAAGTGGTGTAGGGCACAAGCAGAAGAAAAATGGCACAAATGGAAAAAATGAAGTGAACGATTAACAAAAAAGAAGCTAATACCAAAACCAAAACAAAACATATAAGGGACTTATCGAGTCCAAGAACAAGTTTTAAATAAAGAGAAAAGAATGCAAGCTTAAATTCTGAAAGAGAAGCTATTCTAGAACTACATACAAACGTTTTGCACGACCATCAAAAAAAGGTGGATATAACCACAATATTAATTGCATATTAATAGTAAATTATTTTCTAAGTTTTATACCTTGCTTTAAGATAATTTTTATAAATTACTAAATTTAAGGTGGAGGTTAAAAAGGATTCGCTTTAAAATGAATAATATGTATCTTCTATTATGCCGAAAAATGCAGAATAATTATTTGCATTGGTTTCAGCATATTTGTCGGTCTGAGGTCCATTCTGTCGTCTTCACTTGAAAAAAGATCTTGTATGGAAAAATAGAAAATTTTTAACAGCTTTCAGCAAAAACCAGTAGGAAATAATAGATGTAGAAAATTTGAATCGGATGAGATCATTTTTTTGTACACTTGAAAAATGGAAAAATTAAGAAGCAATTGTGATTTAATTTGTTTTTCTAGTCGTAAATTTAAAGGACAGACGTGATTAATTCGATTTTCTGATTAGATATCAGCAAATAAGAAAATAAATGCACTTACCGCAGTAAAGGTTGAGTTCTGTTGAAAACTATTGTAGTTGTATGAGTGGATTAATAGGCTTTTCCTTGTTTTTGGAACGCTCCCTTTCGGACTTTGAATGGATCTGAAAAAAACAAAGGAAAAGAGTAATAAGTTTTCAATTTTTAACAATTTCTTTTCGGTCTGCTTGTCTTTCAATTTTTTAACTTTTCTTATTTGCTTTAAATAAACGAAATGTACGCACTTTTTTATGTATAGTTCAGATTACTAGTTTTTTTCCCAATTGCTGGTTTTTTTTTTACCAAGAAAATATACATTTAATGCAAGCTTTACAAAAATCTCTTTAGAATCTCAAACTACTAATTAAGATGCTATTCTCTTTCAGAATTAATCTCAATTTGATTTTCTTCTTTTCTGGTTTAATCTCAATTGGTTTTTTTTGAATTGTCTAATTTTTTGCACGCACAGAGTTGTATTTAAGGATTTGCATTATCTTATTTTTGGCACACACAGAGTTTTGTTTAAGGTGTTTAAATTGTATAATATTTATAAGAATAATTTTTCGCATGCATATGGTCATTTTTTTATAAACGAATAATAAAATTTAAAATATAACCGAAATGCACGCAAAAAATGCAATAAAGTAATTCATGCAATATATTGATAATTTACATTGTTAAAAATTATTTTTGTAATACAAAAGAGTAATTACTCCTTTTTTTACAGTGCTGAAAACAGCGCTAAAATATTACAAGAATTCATATTTAAAGGAGCCAACAAAAGTTAAAATGGCAGGTAAGATATTATTTTTTCCCTAATAAAGTGTCAATATAAGACTACCAATTTTATTTTATATATATTTTCAGAAGACAGCAAAACAGCTAAAAATAAAATAAGTTTCCGGGAAGGTAAAGCTTTTTAAATTTTTTATTAGCTTAGGATGATTAACCTTTATTTTTTATATTTTCAGAGGCCGAAAAACACGAACGAGAGAGAAGAAACACAGTCCGGCGCTGCTGAACAAATGTCGAAGCAGACAATAATAAAAATACGAACAGCAGCAATTCCCCTAGCCGCGGTCCGCATCAACGCCGCGGAGGGCGCAGGTGGCGGGAAAGAGGTAGGCGCCAAGGAGGAGATAGGCGCCCGCTAGAATAATCAATAATATCTAAATAAGGGGCCTCTGGTGTATGTATCAAGAAGAAATCGAATAATTTCGAATATTTAAGATTGCATTGACTGTATTTGTTTAATAATAAATTATATTTATTATAAATATCAAATAATATCGAAGTTAGCGAGTTCAACGCTTGAAAGCGTCTCATACGATCTACTATACGTTTTTGCATAATTTTAATAAAAATGAGGTATAAATAATGCAATAAGTATGGAAAATTAAGTAACTGTTAAAAGACTAAGATTTACAATCGCTTTGATATCTTCATCTCTGCCATCAGGTGATAACAAAATTCCAACGCTTCAAAACGCCTTTGTTAACCCAATAAAACAATCATTGCCCAACTAGCCCAACTGAGGTGCGGCTGTTTTACACACCGGGCTCGGACTGGCATTGTGTATTGCGTGTACGATATAATTATACCTCAACTCCCACAAACCCAGACAGACTCAAACGATACGTCTCTAATGATCGCATTGAATGCAATTGTTATTTTTTCAACCATTATAAAATAATTAGTTACTTTGGAAAAAAGTCTTCCTTTAAAATGTAAGATTTTTATGTTAATAGTGATGGCACGTTAAAATAAAAGTTAGATACAAACTTTCGACAAACATGTGTTTTAACTGTCCTCGCGAGATAAAGTCGATTATTGTTAATGTATAGATTTAGATCCCCTTTAATCTTTGTGAGGATATAACTTGTTATCGAGCTTTATTAACAACGTTGATGAAATGTTTACAGCACTTCAAAACAAGTTGCCGAACCTTCATTTAATATAGCATTAAAACACTAGAAGCCGTCCAAACCTTCGTTTTAATTCAATTGATATGCCATTCCACGGATCGTTCCCAGCTTCAATTACAGATAAAATGTATTCTTTAATCCAGCGCCTGCGCTTAGTACTTGCTCCGTAACTTAAAGATATATTTTTGGAATCTACACCTAAGATTCGAGCAATTTAAATTTGTGCCTTTGGTGCGAGTGTGTCTGTGTTATGCGCACAAAATCATATTTCCAAGATTTCTTTCCCTGGCTAACTCTTATAGCGAAGTCTACCGAAGATCGCAGCCGCGCAGAAGATCAACGAGGCGTTCGATCAAGCCTTGTGTAAAGATTTGCCTGTTATGCGTTTGGGGGAGAGTGCCAATTTGAGATCTGGCGAGTTTATAAATCGGCACAATACATGCAAAACAAATGAGAACGAATATACACTTATTTTATAAAGCGGCACAATACATGCAAAACAAATGAGAACGAATATACGCTTATTTTATAAAGCGGCACAAATGAGAACGAATATGTACAGAAGCAGCACTTGTTATTATGTACGCAATATACAAAGAGAATCATTGTAAATTTTTGCACGCATAGTTTTCAAGATGGTCCAAATTGGTCGAAGCAGAAGCCCGCAATGGAGTATAAACTGAACGAAACTCCGTTTTTGTGAACGTTAACCGTACTATTCATAAACTCAGGTGCCTAAGAGTCACCTTAAGAATTAGGATCCGATCAGATCAGATCCAGTTGTCATTTCTCCTTTGAGAGGATTGATAATATACTTTAAAATATTGCCCCTGATAAATTTTAGATTTATATTTATAGGAAAGTAATCGTATAAAAAATGAGAACCATTAATAGTTATTCTGTGCTGCTAGAGAATGTTTGTGAACTGCAGGCGTCGTTTTAAACTCTTTGATTGCGCAGATGGACGGACATTAGCGGACATCGTGTCGTTTCGCTGGAACTAGACAAGTGCCTAGTGCCTTAGACAACGTTAAGTGTTACTTTAGAAAACAAATACATGAGTGGAAAAAGTTTTGATTTTCTGAATTCTTGATAACTTGATCGACGTACGGTTTAGTCACGTACTTCGCCTATCTGTTTAAACCCCAAGTAGGAAGCCACAATTTTTCTTAGAAATATTTTAAACTAAATCTTTTTTGGCACTCTCCTGAAGCTGCGAAAATAATACTCGATAAATTAACGACGTTTCTACATTGGTTCGTTAGTATAACCTGTTAGTGCTTTCAATAGGTTAGGTTCCTCCATTAATTCATTTTTCTTGATTGAAATTCGGCAGAATTCAATTTATGAAATCCACTATGCTAAAAATATTCCCACGTTATATTTATGGCAGTAAAATGATGATCTGTAAAATATATGAACAGCAAGAAAAAAACAAACATCGTCAAACCTTTAAGATAAAATTATACGTTCACGTTAAATCAATTTTTTTTTTTTCAATTTTACCTAAGTTTACAATATTGCTAAAATTAAAAAAGCTACTTTCGGTCGTTAAGTCTTCCAGTTGCTTTTTGCAGTAGTGATATTTTATAAAGGGAAAACACGTGGCCCGAAAAATCTGGTAATTTGTTCCCGATTCAAGTGTCTAATTGAAATTTGCCATTTGCCCATTGATCGTTCTTCACATCTAACTACAAAATTGCTTTCACCGTGTAATGAATTTGGACACAAGAAATTTTGTAAGCACGCGCCATTACAAAATAAGAAGTTCAAGGAGTCTCATTGCACTCGGTTAAATAAGCTGTTCAAACTTCAGAAGCCTACGAATATATGTATACCACTCAAACGAGGTCGCGATAGTTTTAATAAATTGCGAATAGCAGCTTAGCAATTTATCAGATCACAAACCGGTTTCAGCGGAATTTCTAATTACCATTAAAACAGACAGATACACTGACGAGCTTTATGAGATGACTCACGGCGGCAGCATCAAATCTCTATCTCTAGTAAGACTTCTTTTCATATCATTCTATAACTACTTCTTCAAATCCTCCGTAAATGTCTATCGGATTATCAGAATCCTCCAAAATATAATTTGCATTCATTGTCTTTGTAAATTAATATCTAAATACGTTGACGAAATCATCACACACCTCTAAAGTTGGAGTTGGGCTATGCACATTATTAGACCTTTAGTTTGAACACCTAGTATGCTCTGTCTACGCATTGCTACGCTATGCGTTGTATTTCTGAAGTGTCTTGATAATTTTCAGTAATTTGGGCGTCTCTATAATAACGTTTTGCGGACATGTCTCTAGGGTACACAAAGCCTGGCTCGCAATTCCTATACGTCCAGCATCTAAAATCTTCATGGCTATTTTGAAGCCATAAACTGGTTGACCTAGAATATTTTCCTTTGATATAATATAATCTTCGAAGATCAACTGACAAGTGGAAGAGCCTCGTATATCCAATTTATCTTCTTTTTTACCTAATGAAAATCCATCTATGCCTTTCGTTACAATAAAAGCGGATATTCGTTTATGCTTTAGAGATTTACAATTGCGTCACCACCTTCAAATGCGTTAGTGATCGAAGCTTTTGTACCGTTCAACAAGTAATGATCTCCCTTATAGGAAGCCGTGGTGAAAGTAACACCAGCATCCGAACCATTACCAGGCTCAGACAAAGCAAAACAGCCAATTTTGTCACTAGTGGTATATGGAGTGATGAATTCGTTTTTTTGCTTATCATCGCCGAGAGCCAACATCGGAGCCAAATGTAAAGAATTGTTCACAGACATAATAACGCCAGCGGACACACACCCGATATTTCTCAGAAGCAACAGGTAATCTGGAGCAGCGCCATACGTTTTGTTTTGTATTTTCTATGCATGTATACTTGGTGTGTATATATATATTTGTACATACATATATTTTTCATAAAGTTGGCTTGGTAGGCTAGGTAATCGCCATGTGCGTGCAAACATTTGTGTGCACGTATGTTTCTTATAAACATAAATATGCATACATATGGCCATGAAGCAGTTTAGACACTCACTCACGAAGCACATTTTCTACACACATGTGCGTCGCAGTTTATGTCTCTTTTTTCTAATTTTGAATGAGATTAGAAACCGTTGAACATGTGAATATCAGAACAGGGATTCAGTAAATTCAGAAAGCAACGAAATTCTTCTAATGTTCAACAAATGCAAAAACAAACAAAACAAGTTAGAGAAATAGCAAGAAAAAAATAATAATAATAAAAATAAATAAATAAAATGATATAAAATACTAATAATAAAAAAAAATAAAACAAAAATATATATTGAAAATATTGTCTTCAGGTTTCAGTCGGATATGAGACACTCAACATTCGCTTATCTATCACACGGCTTTGTTCTAAAGAAAAAAGGAAACGAAACTAATTATATATTTACTTATTTACTTAGTAAATAAGTAAAAGATAACATTTTTATGCTAACTGCAGTTCTTTTTATTATGGTTTTTTTTTTTGCTTAAGATTTAGCTTACAATTTGGGTTTTTTTGTACAAACGCTTAGTTCGCATGTTTTCCGGATTACTCTCGTCGTCAATCGGAGCGGTCCGACGTATTGCTACTCGAATGCATTCATTCTACCAATTATTTTAAATCCATGCGTACTTCTAGGGGATACAGACGGATTTTATTGTACGTCCGACGATGCTGGCATAAATGGAGGCACCGGACAATGACGGACTAAGGAGACAGGGTTCCAGAAGCTAAAAATGTACGTTGGGTCCATTGTTTCATACCTACCTAAACAATCCCAAGGAAAAAGAAAACTCTCTCTGAAAAAAATTTTTTTTTCTTTACGTTAACTTGAAATAAAAGAAAAAGATAAAATAAAAGAGCAGACTTTACAAAGAAACTATAGAACTTTAAGAGAATCGCAGTAAAATGTTATTCCGAAGTAAATCTCATTTACATATTATTCGATGGCTTATGGGACGAGGTATTCACAATTTTCATATCAAAAGCTTCAAGATAAGTAGAATTAAAATTCTAAAGAATGGTTGTGTTATCAAAAAGGTTAAGATAATAAATTTTTTCTTTCAAACGTTTGAAATGAAAACAAGCAAAACACTGTACGGTCCTACACTGTCCTAAAGTTATTAATATATAACGACCGATTCGAACCATTTTTAATAGTGTTCGTCCTTAGCCGAAATTTTATCAGAATATTTTAGTAACTGTAGCCTGTAAGAGAACAAACAGACATGCTTAAATCAATCCAGAAAATGACTCCGAATTAGTTAGTATAATAAAAGATGTGTGTATCTTAAGTCTTTTTGGGTGTTGCCTACATGCGCATAAACTTAATACTCTAAATAAAATTTTTTTTCTTCAAACCGCTAATTTCAAATTCAAACTTCGTTAGAGAACTCTACAAAATCTACAACTGAAAGCAAAAAGAAAGGGCAAACGATTGTTAAATGAATAAAGACGATTCAAAAAGTAAAGAAAACAATTATAAATAAATTTTTCTATAGACGAGATAATGGGGAATCCAAAGCGCAAAAGAATTGTAGATGACCTTGTTCTAAAACCAAAGGGGTTTCAAAAAAAAATTCTTCCAAAGAATTCCAAATAATTTCCTTTACAGTGTGGTCACAAATCCAAGGTTTCGAACAATTCTCTTATAAGAAGACACATGACCTCAAACCTAAGATACAATGCTTTGAAATCCATATCAAACAAATTGTACACACTGGTGCTACAAACCAACCTTCGAAACCCAAAACAATTTGGGTAATTTATTTATTTATTTATTCTACTTATACATACATGAAAATCAACTAAAATAAATTGACAGTCGAGTTCAATTGACTCTTAAGTAAATCTTAAATTAATTAATATTAAAACTTAGCATAGGTGTAATAAAACGAATAAGAAGGAAAAAAAAGAAAAAAAACATGTACACAACTAGCATAGAGCCACACCCAAAACCGGTGCAGAACCAAATTGCGAATGAACCCCTAAGACATCGCAAACAAGCGTAAGCTTGGCAACCGATAATAGTTAACAACAATTAAGTTTCGAATCATAATGACATTTTGAGGTTAAGCGCTAGTTTAAGTACGACATAGGTAAATTACGCGCATTAAGCAATGTTGCTTTAATGGACTTTGAAGAGTCCGATAATGAAAATAAGTGGTAGCCATCATTTAGGTTCTTGCATACAACTCTGAGCGGGTTAAAGTGCCTAGAGAAGCGGTTGCGGACATTAAAGCTTATTTCACCAAGTAATGCAGGCGAGCCCATAGCACCATTTATTACTTTTTAACGAAAGAACAAATCGACGTTTTTTGAGAGACGGTAACGACAACAGAAGCAATCTATTTTCATAGAGAGGAAGAGAGGCAATCGGATCCTAACCCAAATTTGTAAGGACAAACAGCAAGAATTGCTTTTGAACAGATTCAATTGAATCTATATAGCACCTATACGAAGGAGACCACACAAGAGAGGCATACTCGAGTATGGGTCTAACCAAACACATGTACAGCCTTTTCGAAATGTAGGGATCATCAAGGTCTTTCGATAACTTCTTTAAAAAACCAGGCGCGGACCTAGCTTTGCTTAACGAGAGTTCAGTGTGCAAGTTAAAACGTAATCTATGATCAAATAGAACGCCTAAATCTGTGAACGTATCGACGTCCTCCAACTTATGCGAATCAGTGAAATACTGACTAATGAATGACTTTCTTCTTGAGAGAGAAAGCTCCTTACATTTATTTAGATTTAGTTTCAGAAGATTCGAAGAGCGCCATACAACCAAATTATTCAAGTCACTTTCAAGCTGATGTGATTTCGATGCTAGAGAGAACGAAGAAAACAGTTTCACATCATCATTAAGATCTTACTGGAATTAATGACCAATGGGAGACCATTAATGTATAAACTAAATAAAATGGGACGTAAGCGGCGAATTCATCTGAGGTGATGAAGTTAAAAAAAACCCTGAAGGATCTATTGTGCAGATAAGAGTTTATCCATTTCACTAGAAAGGGAAGCCAGAGGCTTGGAGTTTAAAGATAAGTAAGTTATGATTAACCAAATCAAACGTTTTGCTTAAATCAGTGTATATTACATCTGTGCGAGAGCCACTAGAAAACGCCTTGAAAACATGATAAGTAAACTCTCGTTATAAACGAAACATATCTCCAATTAGTGGAAGAAGCGGTTAAAAACTGAATTGGAAGAAGCGCTTTCATGACACCTAGTCATTGCAAAGACACATTGAGAAATATACTGAAAACTTAAATCACGAATATTTTTTTAAATATTTCGTTCTTGAATTAAAAATCGTTGGTTTGAAACTTCAGTTTTTATGTATTCTGTTTTAATCCGACCTAATAACAAATTAGAAAATTATATTTAGTCGTGCTCGAATAACCATCACAAATTTAAAAAAAAAAGTTCATACTCTACAACATTGATTGGGCCCAGCTGATTTTTTTATATTTTCGGAGAAAAGTGAGAATTTACACCATGTGTTTATTGTACTTAATGAGTAGCAAGCGAAAAATATGCAAAGCTAAGGTGTTCACAATAGCGTGCCCTTTGTCTGGGTTGAGTCATTTTAAAATTTGCACATTTCTAGGCGATATCTTCATTTTTGCTAACGGGAGAATATTCAGCACAGATACTACACAGTTGCTCAGACAGAGAGCTCGACAGATGAATGGACGGACATGTTTAAGTGCATTCCAAATTTGAAACTGGCCAAGAATTTATATACCCTGTAGAGTTTATGAAATTTGTTCCTGCGCCTTACAAAGGTATAGAAGAAAACTTAAACTTTGATACACTATAATATTAAATAAGCGTCGCAAACTTTCCTCATTTTTGCATAGAGATCACAACATCGCTTATAGCCTGTGTTGCTAGTGCTCAATGTCTCTTTTTTTAGTCTAAGAATTCAATTCATTAGTCTAAAATTAAAATAATAATAATAATAATAATAATAATAATAATAGAGTAATGATAAAAAAACGAATTATTCATTCTTTTTGAAAAATAGAGGTGATTTCACTTTACGTAATACTGTAGGCGTGTCTTTTGATCGTGCGCAGCAACTGTTTCTATCAATTTGCAACGTTTCTGCCAAATTTAAAGTCGATAGCTTCATTTTTGTGGTCAGGAGAATGTTTACAACGGGCATTACACAGACGAACGACTGACATACTTAAACCGATTTAGGATTTGATGCTGATCAAGAATGTATACACTTCGTGGGGTCTCTGAACCTTCGTTCTGGGCGTTGCAAACACTTTGACTGAATGAATGCAGCTATCCACATAACGACTCTTCAAAAATAAAGCGCTCTGTGGGAAGCATTCGATCCGAAACATTCTCAGTAGTGTTCGTTCTTTGGCCAGCACACGTCAGTGTATAAGATTTCAGCAAATTATCTCAAAAATTGCAACCTGTAAGTTGAACGCAAGGCTATGAGCGGACAGACAGACAGAGGAAGAGACGAACCGACAAATTTATCGATCGGTATAGTGCAGGTCAGATCTATTCGTCCTAAGTGCTGCATGCATATATCCTTGTACCACAAGTTGGGTAAGATATAACAAGAGTTATTATTAAAAGAAAAAACGAATTTTTAATTAAGTATATCAAGTGCTTTGCAGCTGTTTGTGTAATCAACACACGAAAAAAAGTACAGTAGAATTGCTATTCAGTATTTTTGCACAATATTCAGAGAATGCTCGGATTACTTTTAAACTTGCTTTCATACACTACATAGAG